CTGTTCCATCACTAGGCCTGTTCCATCACTAGGCCTGTTCCATCACTAGGGCCCTCCCTTGGCCTTCCCCATCCCGTGATACCTCATGTGCACTTAACAAGTGGGCGAAAGGAGGGAGTGATTCCATTCAAGGTATAAGATTCACCCCCAGAAATCCTCAGGTTACAAGTGGAATGGGCAGGCTCCATTACGGTTGTAACCAGAGGATTACCTGTACCATCCCACTCAAATGGTTCTCCAGCCTATTCTTGAAAACCTCCAGCGATGGAGCACATGCACAAACCCTGGAGGCAAGCTATTGCATTGATTAATTGCTCTAACTGACAGACAATTTCTCTTTACTTCTGAGTTGGACGTCATTTTAACAAGCTTCCACCATTACTTTTTGTCCTGCCGTCTGGCATCCTAGAGAATAAGTCAATCCATTCTTCTTTGCTTCACTGCACACTTTCCAGGGTCTCAACAACTTTTTTGTGTCATGGTGACCAGAACTGGACACAGTATTCTAAGTGTGGTGTCACCAGCAAAGAAATTCTATCTCTTCTTGTTGTCTTGACATTATTCCTGTTGATGCAGCCTACAACTGCATTGGTTGTTTTGGGGAGCTGCAGCACAACACTAGCACAAGGGGTATTTGTTCACTTATCATATGTCCCAGGGATACATGGCCTCAGAAAGCCACTGTTCCACTTAATAACTTGCACATTCATTTGACAGCTTCATTAGGGAGAGAAGAGGACGGAGGTAGTTCAGCAAGGTAATGTCACTTAACCCAGTGATCCCCAACCTTTTTGACGCCGCGGCCCGGTACCGGCATCAGCTGGGCGCCGCGGCCCGGTACCGGCATCAACTGGGCGCCGCCATCTTTTTTTGATGAAAAAGTGCTTCCGGTGAGCTTTCTACCTGGAAAAGCTCACCGGAAGCACTTTTTTACCAAAAAAAGATGGCGGTGCCCAGCAACCAGCAGCCCGGTAAGACTTATTCCGCGGACCGGTACCGGTCCGCGGACCGGCGGTTGGGGACCCCTGACTTAACCATTATTATAAGATGAAACCAAAATTGGCAAGCTCCATTATAGTTGTATCTTGAGGACTACTTGTATGGGGCTGGGGAATTATGGCACACATAATCCGGAGGACATCAAGGTAGAAGACGGAAACTCCACATGGTGGAATTCCACAATCAATATACAAAAACTACCACCCAAAAACCTTTTTGAGAAATTTCACAATTTCTGAACAGCCTTTATGAAACAGTTTCCACCTTTTTCTCTCCACCTACTGGTCTAAATCTGAGATGTGTTGCATAAAAAGAATCAGGCCAGGATTCAAAGAGTCATTCTCTCACCTACACTCTCAATGGGAGATCAGGAATGAAATTCAAGCCTTCTCTAAACACATCAAATTTTGCCTCATGTGGATTTCCTTGTATACAATAAGAAGTAATTTACACCTGAAGCCCCGTCCACAGACTGCACGTTTGAAAGGTATCTCCCATGTGAGTCCTCTGCTGTTTCACCATGTTGGAATTCTGACTGAAACATTTGTCACATACAGGAGACTAATACAGTTTCTCTCTTGTGTGAGTCTTCTGGTGTGTCACCAGGCTGGAATTCTGATTGAAAGTTTTCTCACAATCAGGACATTCAAAGAGTTTTTCTCCTGTGTGAGTCCTCTGGTGTATCACCATGTTGGAATTCTGACTGAAACATTTGCTACAAACAGGACACTCATACGGTTTCTCTCCTGTGTGAGTCCTCTGGTGAGTCACCAGGCTGGAAGTCTGACTGAAACCTTTCCCACAGACAGGACATTCAAAAAGTTTATATCCTGTGTGTATCCTCTGGTGCCTAATAAGCTGGTATTTTCTTATGAAACTTTTCCCACAATCAGGGCATTCAAAGTGTTTTCCTCCTGTGTGAGTCCTCTGGTGTATCTCCAGGTTGGAACTTTGACTGAAACGTTTTTCACAATAAGGACATTCAAAGTGCTTCTCTGCTGTGTGAGTTCTTTTGTGTGTCACCAGGCTGGAATTGTGACTGAAACGTTTTTCACAATCTGGACATTCAAAAGGTTTCTCTCCTGTGTGTGTCCTCTGATGTATCATGAGGTAGTAATTTTTAATGAAACGTTTTCCACAAACAGGACATTCAAAGGGTTTCTCTCCTGTGTGAATCCTCTGGTGTATCACCAGGCGGAAATTGTGACTAAAACTTTTCCCACAGTAAGGGCATTCAAAGGGTTTGTCTCCTGTGTGTGTCCTCTGGTGACTTGTGAGCTGGAATTTTTTAATGAAACTTTCCTCACAATATTGGCACTGATATGATTTCTCTCCTGTATGAATCCTCTTGTGTTTCACCAGGTTGGAATTGTCACTGAAACTTTTCCCACAAACTGGACAATCATATGGTTTCTCTCCTATGTGAGTCCTCTGGTGTACCACCAGCTGGGAATTCTGTCTGAAACTTTTCCCACAAAGAGCACATTCAAAAGGTTTCTCTCCTGTGTGAGCTCTCTGGTGTATCACCAGCTGATAATTCTGACTGAAACTTTTCCTACAAAGAGCACATTCAAATGGTTTCTCTCCTGTGTGACTCCTCTGGTGACTCATGAGCTGGTATTTTATAGTGAAACACTTCCCACAATCAGAACATTGAAAGGGCTTGAATCCTGTGTGAGTCCTCTGGTGTTTCACCAGGTTGGAATTCTGACAGAAAGTTTTCCCACAATCAGTACATTCAAAAGGCTTGTATCCTGTGTGAATCCTCTGGTGTTTCACCAGGTTGGAATTCAAACTGAAACATTTCCCACAATCAGGACATTCAAAGGGTTTCTCGCCTGTGTGAGTCCTCTGGTGTACCATGAGGTGGGAATTCTGGCTGAAACTATTCCCACAATCGGGACATTCAAAGGGTTTCTCTCCAGTGTGAGTCCTTTGGTGAATCACCAACTTGGAATTCCCACTGAAACATTTCCCACAATCAGGACACTCATATGATTTCTTTTCTGTGTGCATCTTCTAGAGTATCACCAGGCCGGAGTTCTGACCAAAACTTTTCCCACAATCAGAGCATTCAAAGGGTTCCTACCTGGTATGAGTTCTCTAATGTATCACCTAGTTGCCATGCTCACTGCATTGGGAACATTTGTAGGGCTTCTCTCCTATGTCATAACCGTTAAAACTGTGAGTTAGTTGCCAAGGAATCCAAATATAAATCACATGACCATGGGGACATGCTGCAATAGTCATGTGTGAAAAATGGTCATAAGTCACTTTTTTCAGTGGCACTGTAACTTTGAACAGTCATTCAATGAACGGTTGTAAGTTGAGGACTACCTGTAATGTATCCTTGTGTTCTGCATACTCTACTTTTTCCAGTTTGAAATCTTGCCTTGATCATCTGCTGGAGAAGGAGAAGAATTTTGGGGTTTTCTGAAGGAAATGGAAAATATTTTGATTTATGGCTTTATTTGATTTCCTTTTTAACCTTGCTTGTTATTCTCAGTTGACAGGAGTGCTTTTATTCGCATCTGTTTTGCCTGTAAGATTCAAAGAAAAAAATGTAACTTTTATTGTTTATAAAATGGTTGCAGATGATGTGAAAAAAGAAAAATATATACATTACAGGTAAAATGCAAACATGTCCCAATGTTAAATAACCTCTTACATTAATTATGATTTATTTGACACATTCAAGATTGTAATACTCTTGTTGACTTGGGTCAATCACAAATTCTTTGTACGGCAATTATAATCTCTG